CCACTATGTTGATCACTAACATTTGGTACATTGCCCTTCTCTTCATCCAAATCAATACTTATGTCTACCTATCTAACAGTGTTCCCTACCCTAACCTCCCACCCCTGGTAACCAACAAAGAAAATTTCCTTCCATATATAAACCATTCCTTGACTTTTACAATAACAGACTAATACAATATTTGTCCTTCTGTAATTGACTTATTTCACTCAGCATAGTGTCCTCCAAGTTCATCCACGTTATGCAGTGGTTTGCAGGTTCTACATTATTCTTTAGGGTTGCATAGTATTCCATTGTGTGTATGTACCACAGTTTGGTTATCCATTCCTCAGTTGATGGACACCTAGATTATTTCCAACTTTTTGCTATTATAAATAGTCCTGCAATGAACATGAGTGTGCATATGTCTGTTCTTGTCATGGCTCTCACTTCTTTAGGATATATACCTATAATGGAATGGCTGGATCAAATGGTATTTCTATTTCCAACTTTTTAAGGAATCTGGAGTTTCTTTTCTCCCTATTACAACTACCTTTCCCTTCTTGTTTCCCACTAGAGGATCTAAAAAGCTAAATACTTCCTTTTCCAGCCTCTCTTGTAGCTACAGTGGTCATGTGACCCAGTTCTGGCCAGTGAGACAGAAACAAAATCTCCAGAGGGGCTTCTGGAAAAACCCTTGTGGTCTTGATTAGAGGAGCCCTGGTGACATAGTAATTAAATGGTGGGCTGCTAACCAAAAGATCGGGAGTTGTAACCCACCAGATGCTTTGTGGGAGAAAGACTTGGCAGTCTGCTCCTGTAAAGATTGTTCATGGCTTTGGAAATCCTATGAGGCAATTCTACTTTGCCCAATAGGGTTGTTATGAGTTGGCATTGACTTGACATCAACAAGTTTTTGGTTTGGTTCTTCATTAATAGGGACAGTGATTCTAGGATAGCTTTTTCTTCCTTCTTTTTGATTTGAATGTGGTCATCATGGCTAGAGCTGCAGCAGCAATCTTGTGACCCTGAGGGGAAAGCCAAAAGAGTTACAGATTGTTGATGAGTCAGTGATCCAGTGCTAGAAGCTGTCTACCTCCAGACTTTTTGTCATGTGAGAAACAAACGTCTATTTGCTTAATACAAATAGATTCCTGGGGCTTGCAGCCAAATGCATTCACAACTGATACAGGCATCTAGCAGGCAGTCAATAAATAGTGGTTGAGTTTGTGACTTAGATGGTCACCTGAGCTAAGTCTTAACATATTGGAACATACTTAGGATGTCCCAGTTGGAAGAAACAGAAACAACATATATAAAAGGTTCAAGGCAGAAAGACACGAGGAGCTCACAAAGAAGACACTAATATCAAAGTACTTCATTGTTGCTACAGTATAAAGTATAAGGCAGGCAGTGGTTGGATAGAAGCCTAGAGAAGTAGAAAGGGCCAAATTGAAAGTTTCCTTACAGCAAAGAGAGTCCCAGGTTCAAGTGACTGAGAACTCTCCATGCTATCACAGGAACTATAGAGTTACAGCCAAGGCTACCATAGTTCAAGTGAATGCATTCTTCCTGTTGGTCATTGTACTTGTTATCTATTGCTGCCACAACAAATTATGCCAAACCTTAGCAGGGTAAAGTAGCACAGGTTTATTATCTCACAGTTTCTGTAGGTTAGGAATCCAAGCATGGCTTAACTGTGTCCTCTGGCTCAGAATCTTGTACAAGGCTACAATCAAGGTGTTGGTTGGTGCTGTGGTCTCATCTGAAGGTTCCACCAGGGAAGTATCGGCTTCCACATTCACACAGTTGTTGGCAGGATTCAATTCCTTCTGGGTTATTGGACTATGGGGCCTCAGTTCCTCACTGGCTGTTGGCCAAAGATCTCCCTCAATTCTTTGCCTTGTGGGCCTCTCCATAAGGCAGCTCACAACATGGCAGTAGGTTTTATGAGAGTGAATGAGTGAGAGAACAAAAGAAGTGAATGAGAGGGAAGCCAGAGTTTTTGTTTTTATAACTGAATCTCAGAATTGGTATCCCCTTTTTCTGTATTCCTGTTTATTAGAAGCCAGTTACCTGGTCCAGTCCAAGCTCAAGAGGAGTGTGTTACAAAACAGCGTGAATACCAGGAGACAAGCATCATTGGGAACCATCCTAAAAACTGCCTACCATAGGCACACTGCCACCCCCTTCCTTCTCCTTCTCCCCATCACAGGCATCAGCTGCAGCAGCATCTTCCTTATTATTGTCATTATCATCACCACAACCACAGTGACTGTTTATTGAGCTCTTACTGTGTATCAGACATTTGATAATAAATCCATACATTATCTCATTTATCATCACTACAAACCTGTAAGTGTAAGTAATATTATTCCCATTTTGCAGATGAAGAAACAGAGACTTATAAAGATACTATGATTGTCTGAGGGCACACTATGAGTCAGTAAGAGACAGAACTAGGAGGCAAACCAAGGTTTAACTCTAGCAGCTCTTAACTACCACATCCAGGAAGTAGTGTCTGTAGAGTTAGGAGAGTTGTGTCTGCCAGCTCGCCCTGATGGCCCGGCTATTTCCTTCTTCCAAAAGGAAAGCTACAGAGTGGGGAGTTGAGAGGATGGACTGGGCATACTCAAAATTTTAGGGACCTAGACAAATGACAGGAAATCAAATGACATATTGCATTGGGCATATCTGCTACAAAAGACCTCTTTAAAGGTTAAAGAACAAAGATGTCACTTTGAAAACTAAGGTGTTCCTGATCCAACCCATGGTATTTTCAGTTGCCTCATGTGCATGCAAAAGCTGGACAATGAATAAGGAAAACCGAAGAAGAACTGATGCATTTGAATTATGGTGTTGGTGAAGAATATTGAGTATCCCATAGACTTCCAGAAGAATGAACAGATCTGTCTTGGAAGAAGTATAACCAGAATGCTCTTTAGAAGCAAGGATGGTGAGACTTCATCTTTCATAGTTTGGTCATGTTATCAGGAGGGACCAGTCCATGGAGAGGGTAAAGTAGAGGGTCAGTTAAAAAGAGGAAGACCCTCAACAAGATGTGTTGACACAGTGGCTGCAACAGTGGGCTCAAGCATAGCAACAATTGTGAGGATGAAACAAGACCAGTTAGTGTTTCATTCTGTTGTACTTAGGGTCACTATAAGTCAGAACCAATTCGATGGCATCTAACAACAAGATAAAGGACAAGGAGTCCTGGTAGCACAACATTTAAACACTGTGCTGCTAGCCAAGAGGTTGGCGGTTTGAACTCACCCACAGTTCTATTGGAGGAAGACCTGGTAATCTCCTTCCATAAAGATTACAGCCAAGAAAACATTATAGGGCTCCCTATTCTGTCACATGTGTTCCCTGTAAGTCAGAATTGACAGCACAACTACAACAGATAAAGGGCAATGGGCGAAATCAGAATAATGTCTGTATATTAGATAATAGTGCTGTATTAATATTAATTTCCTGATTTTGATTATTTTGCAGTCATGTGAGAGAATATATTTATTCTTACAAAACATGTACTATAGTTCTTAGAGGTAAAGAGGGCCATGTCTACAACTTACTCCCAAACGTTTCAGAAAAAAAAAAAAAAAAAATTTATAGGTTTATACAGATGTTGTTGTCGTTAGGTGCCGTCGAGTCATCTCCAACTCAAAGCAACCCTGTGCACAGCAGGATGAAACCCTGCCCAGTCCCACGCCATCTCCATGATCCTTGCTATACTTGAACCCATCGCTGCAGCTACTGTATCAATCCATCTCATTGAGGGCCTTCCCCCTCTTTCGTCAACCCTTCACCTTACCAAGCATGGCATCCTTCTCCAGGAAGTGGTCCCTTCTGACAACATGACCAAAGTAGGTGAAATGAAGGTTGGTCATTCTTGCTTCCAAGGAGCATTCTAGCTGCACTTCTTCCAGGACAGACTTGTTAGTTCTTTTAGCAGTCCATGGTACTTTGAGCATTCTTCACCAGCACCACATCTCAAAAGCATCGACTCTTCTTTGGTCTTTCTTGTTCGTTGTCCAGCTCTCACATACATAGGCAGGAAAGAGGGAAAGCTGGGGCCAAATGGCAGCAGGATCCAGGTAAGGGGAGGGAGACAGACAGCCTCCACCCAAAGGCAGGAAGGAGGGTAGGATCCAGGTAATAGTAGAGTGGAGAGGTTTCAAACAGCTAAGGGAGACAAACTTGTCTGTCAGTTTGTCTTACTGTGGTGGCTTGTGGGTTGCTGTGAGGCTGGAGGCTGTGCCATTGGTGTTTAAAATGCCAGCAGGGTTGCACTTGGTTTTTAACGCAGCTTCCAGACTGAGACAGACTCAGAAGAAGGAAGAGGCCATCCACTTCTCAAAGAAGTGGCCAGGGAAAACCTTATACAGATATACATTTAGAGAGAGAAGGAGAGAAAAAATAAATGATAAAGCAAATGTGCCAAAAAGTTAACATTTGGGTAATCTGGGTAAAGGGCATACAGGAAATCTTTGTACTAATTTTGCACTTTTTTGTAAAGCCTAAAATTATTTCAATTAAAAGTCTTTTAGAAAGTGCTAGTTTGTTCTGCTCGGATCGTCAGAAATGATGTTATAGACATCCTCTTGAACCTAAGGACCCATCAGAGCCTAGGGAGGGTGTAAAGGTTAAGAGCAGAATGTGGGTTCTTGGGTCACACTGCTTAGGGTCTAGTCCTGGCACTGTTGCTTCTAATGTCCCCAAGGCATGTAAATTACTGCTCAGGGTTGTTGGAAGGATTTGGTTGGAGAAGGTAAATAATTTGGTGTAGTATGTGGTATAGCTCCTGGCCTATGGTGAGCCCTCCATAAATGTCATCTTTATTATTGCCTCCTTCACTCATCTTGCAAGTGAGGAGTAATGGCCAGCATGGGAATTTGAAATACTGATGTAGAAAATTACCTCAATGCCAACTCCTTGACATGTTGGTTTTTTTTTTTTTTTTTTGTCCCCATGAAGGCAGGGTGGCCACTGCAGTGGGCGTGGATGTGCCTGACAAGATGAAGAACCAAATCCCTGTGGTGCTCTTGGCCTGTGGCTCCTTCAACCCCATCACCAACATGCACCTGCGCTTGTTTGAGGTGGCCAGAGACCACCTACACCAAACAGGTCAGTCCTGAGGTCCAAGTCCAACAAAAGAACTGGTGGGTTGGTCCTCGTAAAGATATGTTGGCTGCTGTCATCATCATCATCATTGTTAAAAGTACTTGATATATTCGTTTACAACATAACCTATAGCATACATTTTCTCTGTTATATTCAGAGAGTTCCCCATTCTTAGCTGGCACGGGTACAAGTCATATCCTTGGTTGTAGAATCAAACACTTCTCAGCCCCCACCCCCTTCTCCACCCCACTGACTTCACATTATCCATGAATGCTAAAAAGACACTAGGCACTTTATAGCACCTATGCCTCAATTAGGGCATCCCAGCTGGTGCTCCCAACATTTACCTACACAGCCAGATTAACAGCAGCATGAGCCTTTGAGAGTTCCTACAGCTCTGTAGGGTGTCCCTGGGTGGTGCAAATGGTTAAACTTTTGACTTCTAGCTGAAAGGTGTCAGTTTGAACTCCTCCAGGGCACCTTGGATCACAGGCCTGGTGATCTGCTTCTAAAAGGTCACAGCCTTGAGAACCTTAAGCATCACTTCTCTCTGCACTCATGAGGTTGCCATGACTCAAAATTGACTCAATGGCAGCTAACAATACCAACCACAATTACTCTGTGGTATGTAATCAAAGATTCAGTAATGAGGATTTTGACATTTTCTCCTTTAAAAGAATAGATCTTAGGTGGTTACAAATTAATAATCTTATATATAGGTCATTTCCAATGCAGATGGCTTGACTTTGCCAGAAATATTTAATCAGCTAGAAATATTTAATCTGGGAATGTTTCATTCTTTGACTTTTCATTTTATCAGTAAGGGAGCAAAATGGCATTTGGAATCTGTGTGATTATTTCCAAAGAATATAAGTCATTTCTATGTTGATGTCAGATACATATGAAAGTATTTATTTATTATATATTTATTTTTATGTATTGTTCAAAAAAAGGTGCTTTTAAGGGCATTTTTTAAACATCAGAATCATTTCCCATTTACTTTTAATACAGAAAAAAGTTAGTAATTGTGTAACATGTGAATAATAATATACTTGAAAAAATTGTATGTAAGTGTTGGTTTATTTTAAGAAGATGTCTTTGTTTACAAAACATAATTTTTTTTATTATTTAAAAAGTGAACGTGGCTGTTTATCCTTAGTAAATTGCTCTAACAATGGAATAAAAAAATGCAAACAATGCAGTTAAAACTGGTCAATGAACATTGGTAGGAAGTATGCCAAAAGAGAAATATAAATGGCCAATATACTTGAGAAAAGATGCTTACCATCACTAATAATGATCAAAAATGCAAATAAAATCAAGATAAAACACCACAAGGTTGTAAGTACTCTAAGGACAGCAACTGCAGCTGCTTGAATGGCACAAAATTGATCCCATCAGTTGCTGGGCTTATAGTCATGCTCAATAAATACCTGTTGAGGGAATGTTGTGGACTGAATTGTATCCCTCCAAAGTATGTTAGAATCCTAATCTCTATACCTGTGGATGCAATCTTGTTCAGGAATAGGGGTTTCTTATTATGTTAATAAGGCCATATTAGTGTAGGGTGTGTTTTAAACTTAATCCCTTCTGAATTATAAAATCATACAATTTTATAATTCAGAAGGGATTAAGTTTAGGACACAGATTAGACACAGAAGCAAACACAATGAGGGGACAGCTATAGATTGCCAAGGAACCTGGGACCACCTGGACTACAGAAGCTGAAAGAAACAAGGATCTTACCCCAGAACCAACAGAGAGAGATCATTTCCCTAAAGCCAGTGTCCTGAATTTGGACTTCTAGCCTCTTGAAGTCTAGAAAATAAATTTCTGCTCTTTAAAGCCACCAGCTTGTGGTATTTCTGTTATAATAGCGCTGTTATTGTTGTTTTTTGCCATTGAGTCAGACCCCTCCTTGGGTTTCCAAGGCAGTATCACTATGGAAGTAGATTGCCCAACCTTCTTTCCAAGGAGTGGCTGGTGGGTTTGAACTGCCAGCCTTCTGGTTAGCAGTCAAGTGCCTCAGGCACTATGCTACCAGAGCTCCATATAATAGCTCTAGGTAACTAAAATAAGGAGTAAATAGTTTTAGCTAATGAGATTGGCAAAGATTAAATATTGACAAAATTCAATGCTCCCAGGATAGAGAAGCAAACACTCTCATGTACTGGTAGTGCTAGGATGAATTCTAAGCATTCTTGAAGGGCAATTTAGTGTTCTGTGTCAAAAAAAATTAAATGTCTATACCCATACCCATAATTAGGAGAAAAATTAACCAATTGAAACCAAACAAGAACTAACACAGATGTTAGAATTGCCAGATAAAGATATAAAAATAGTTATTATAATTATACTCCATGTGTTCAAAAAGTTAAATAGAGACATGGAAAATATAAAATGAACCCAGATCAAGCTGTTAGAGATGAAAACTACTGTGTGTTGAATTTGAAAATAAGCTGAGTAGGATTAACAATAGACTGGACATTGCAAAAGAAAAAGTGAGCTAACTTGAAGATACAACAACAGAGACTATCCAAAATGAAACACATAGAGAAAGAATAATGAAAAGAGATAAGAAAAAAAAGGAATATCTGTAAGTTGTAGAATTAACTTCAAGCAGTTTAATGTATTTGTAATTGGAATCTTTGAAGGAGAAAAGAGGAGGAAGGGTAACAAAATTGTTTTTATTCTCCTGGAAATCCAGAATTCTGGGTTCATGGAATTGGGGTGACCACTAAGCCATCTGTCCTTAGGTATTCATTTGAACTTTGAAGAACCTGTTCCATGGAATCAGCTTCAGGTCAAACTAATAGCTTAGTAGGCAGCTTAGTGGAGAGTGTTTAGCTTTAGTCATTGAGTTCTTTTGGAAAATGATCTACGTGCAGCCAGCTTGTAGAAGCAGGCACTCCAGGGTCTGGCTAGAGGCTGTTTTAGGATTTATGGCATGTCCTTGGTGACTGTTTTATAACCTGCCCTGTGCTTTGATGCTATTTCTTGAGAAATTACCGTAACAGTTTAATTATCCCTTTCACTATCCCCTTTTCAGAGCACCTTCCTAACATGTTTGGGTTATGCTGCCTAATTCAAATCATATGTACTCACAATAAATATGTTCCATGACACTAATTTTTGGTGTTTCTTTAAGCATTTAGATTTTTGACAGGGGAAAAAGGAAAACTATTTGAAGGAATGACTGAAATTTTTGCAAATTTCATAAAATCTTATAGTCCACAGATCCAAGTAGCTCAACAAACCCCAAGCACAAGAAACATGAAGAAAATATCACCAAGGTAAATCATAATCAAATTTTCACAACCAGTAATAAAGAGAAAATCTAAAAAGTAGTAGTAGAGGAACAAAGCTAAGGATGACAACTAATCAGCTGTCCTTTTGTATAAGCAATGCAAAAGGAAACACAGTATAACGTCTTAAAGTACTGAAAGAAAGACTGTCAGCCTAGAATTCTGTATCCAGTGACAATATCTTTCAAAACTGAAGACAAAATAGAGAGATTTTCAGATATACAAGAGCTGAAAGAACTCACCACCAGCAGACCTACACTACAAGAAATGTTAAAGAAATTCTTCAGGTAGAAGAAAATAATACCAGTAGAAATATGGATCTACACAAAGGAATGAAGAACATTGGAAATGGTAACCACATGGGTAATTATATAAGATTCTTTTCTTATTTAAATTTCTTCAAAAGATTATTGACTATTTAAAATAAATAATAACAGTGTATTATGGTTTATAATGTGTAAAAGTAAAATGTATGACAACGGCAGCATTAAAGCTGGGAGGGGAGAAAAGGAAATATGCTTTGTAATGTTCTTAAATGTAAAATGGTATCGAATTACTAAAGGTACACTATGATATGTGATATTAGAGTGGGTGGATCCATGATGTTATGGGTAACATTGCAAACAATAGAAATTCCAGAACACTTGATAGTGCTCATGCGGAACCTGTTGTACATAACCAAGATTCAGTCATTTGAACGGAACAAGGCAATACTTCATGGTATAAAATAAGGAAGGGTGTGTATCAGGGTTGTATCCTTTCTCCATACTTATTCAATCTGTATGCTCAGCGAATGATCTGAGAATCTGAACTATATGAAGAATACAAGATCAAAATTGGAGGAAGACTCATTAATGACCTGCAGTATGCAGATGACACAGCCTTACTTGCTGAAAGTGAAGAAAGCTTGAACCACTAATTGATGAAGATCAAAAACTACTTACTGCCTTTGATATGAATTCTACTGCAACATAAAGAAAACAAAAATCATCACAACTAGACCAATAAGCTACATTATGTTAAACAGGGAAAATATTGAAGTTGTCAAGGATTTAATTTTACTTGAATGCATAATCAAGGCCCTTAAAAGCAGCAGTCAAGAAATCAAACAATGTATTGCATTGGGCAAATCTGCTGCAAAAGACCTCTTTATAGTGTTAAAAAGCAAAGCTGTCACTTTGAGAAGTAAAATTAGTGTCACAGAATGTATGTGTCTGCACATGACCCAAGCTAGAGTATTTTCGTTCACTTCATATGCATGTGAAAGCTGGACAATGAATAAGGAAGACCAAAGAAGAATTGATGCCTTTGAATTACGGTGTTGGCAAAGAATATTGAAAACACCAGGGACTTCCAAAAGAACAAACAAATGTATGTTGAAAGTACAGCCAGAATGCTCCTTAAAAGCAAGAATGGCAAGCCTGCATCTCACGTACTTTGGGCATGTTATCAGGAAGGACTAGTCCCTGGAGAAGGATATCATGCTTGGTAAATTAGAGGGTCAGTGAAAAACAGGAAGATCCTCAATGAGATGGATTGACATAATGGCTGCAACTGTGGCCTCAAACTTAGCAAAGAGTATGAGGCTGGCACAGGAGCAGGCAGTGTTTCATTCTGTTGTACATAGGGTCACTGTGGGTCAGAACTGAATTAACAGCACCTAAAAACACAACAGTCTATGATCTCACTGTCACTGCC